AGCAGCCACAAGCAAACTCTGTTCTTGCAGACAGAGAGAGGGAATCCCAAGGGTTGTCCAGGCTTGTGCCCACAAAAGTAACAGTAGCACCTTCCTCGCCAGTGGTTTTGAAGATTAAGTGAGATAGTTCAAGCAAAGCCCTTGGACACAGTCAGTAAACTGGTCCTGTTATCACTGGTGTCACTGTTGGCATTTTGCCTGATGCAGCCAAATTACGAGGCATCCGGGAGGAGAAAGAGTGTTCTCCCCATTCAGTCCCGGCCCCTGTCCCATCTGGCTTCTCAAGGTGGGGTGCCGGAAAGGGCTGAGAAGCCAAGAGCTCGGGGCCAGCCTGGCCTGGCCTCTAATTAGCCATGAGGCCCTAAGGGAATCCCTGCTCTTCCTGGCTTTCCTTGATTTTTTTGTCCCACGGAGAAATAATCTGGATTATTTCTCCCCCATTTAGTTGGGAATCTTCAATTTCAGCAGCAAAACTGCCCCAACCAGAAAGCAGCTAGGAGAGGAGGAAGCCCAGCAGAGACAAAGCTGCCCTGTGCAGGCCCTGCCCCTGCCTGGCCCGGAGTTCTGCTTCCATACCCAGGCTGAGGGGCTTCCAGGAATCACAGTCAAACGTTATTACGTGAAGTTGTCAGACGGTTGACTGGTGTTCCTGGAAGGGGTAGTCCAAGGAAGGTGGGGGCGGGAGGGTGAGTGAAAAGGGATCAAGGACAAGGAGAATGCAAGCAGTGGTGACCCAGCGGGTCAGAGGCTGCGGGGATACAGAAGGCCAGGATTGAGCAGGGGACGCCAGTGGTTATGGACTCAGCTGGACACAGGACTCCCAAGACCACAGCTGCTCTGACTTTCTTCAGCCCGAGACTCTAGTCAACCACAAAATAGAAGCAATAAAGTGCTTTCTTAGCAGGAAACCCCCTGCCGGTGTGGGTGGACCACCACTGGGTGGTTGGCTCACTGCTCCCTAAAAGACTGGCCGCCCACGTCTCCATTCCCCTTTGGCTCAGAGACACCAACATTGGTTAGTTTTTGGTAAAACCACCTCCCTGTGAAGCTGCGCCCTTCACCTTTGCTGCCTGGCCACTAGGGAGCCGGCACCCAGCAGGGCAGAACAGACTGCGGTTGCCATGGTGACTTGCGGGTGTGGGGGGCATAGATCAGAGAGCTCACAGGGCTCAGCCTCACGCCCCTCTGGTGCTAACCACAACCAACAATGAGGCGCTGCCATGCACCAGCACTGGAGTCAAACTCCCCTCGGGCACCGCACAGCCCCCTCACAGCAGCGCCAGGGGAGGGATCATTCATCCCATTTACAACCAGGGAACCTGGCATTTGGCTTCAGAGCCCAGGTCTTAACCGCTACTCTAAACTGAAATGAAGCAAAAGAGTTGTAATGGTGAAGACAACGGAAGTTTTGGTTCAGGCACTTAGGAGCAGCGTGACCGTGGGGAAGTGGCTTGTTTGCTCAGCGTTGTTTCCTTCTCTCTCAGACAACAGCTTTGGAAGGGTTGTTACAAGAACGAGAAGATCATGTGAACCACTCAGCACAGGCACAGGCTTGGCCCAGGTGGCATTCAGGAAAGGTTTTCTTAGCCAGTACCGGAATCCCAGCAAGCCTTCAGCCCCAGGATCACTCCTCCCAGCCATGCTTTGCAAGACAGGAACTGGAGAGGAGGCGTGGGCACTGCAGCATGGCCCGGGGACCAGCTTCTGCACCTAGGAGGGTCTGCCTGCAAGATGCCTGTGCCCTGGGAGGTGTTCGCACACGGTACCCACCCCCATACTGTAGCAACCTGCCCATCTGTCCCTGCCCCAGCCCACCCTCAGTCACCTACCGGGTCCTCTTGGGTGGGGTGGGCAGGGCGGGGCTGAGTGGGAGGCAGCAGGGTGTCCTTATCGCTCCCAGCACAGGGCTGGAGACAGAGTTAAGCCTGGCCTTATCAGCGCCCCAGGTCCGGTGCCGAACCGCTGAACCCACACTGCCTAGTTCTGAGGCGTGGGGGCCCAAGGGCATGTCAGGGCCCTGTGGAGGCTGCCCAAGCCTTACCTCCTCTGGAAGGGTCCCCAGAGCAGGAGTGGGAAAGACAGTCTGGGAAACAGGGAGCGCCCCACCTGGCTGGGCACTGTGGCACCCTCTACTATCCCTTCTCTCTCTAGTCCCCACCTGGGAAACTAGAGGGGGTTTCACAGCTAGATGGCAGCTAGAGGAGGTCACCCTGAGTCCCTTCCAGAGTTAGGGACTCTAGTCCCTTCTAGAGTTGTCCACCTGTGAGGTCGCTGCGATGATCACTCCTGTTTCCAGACAAGAAACCCAAGGCCAAGCAAAGGGAGGAGACTCGCTTCTCCAGCACTAGCTGCTAGCAGAGTTGGTGAACCCAGGCCCCCTGACTCCCAGCCCAGCATTCCAGCCACCCCACATACCCTAAACTTTTAAAAGCTCCCCGGAGGAAAGGTTTGGTGACAAGGGCGGAGGATCTGCTCCTGGGCTCCCAACCAGGGTCCGACCCTCGCCCTCAGTTTCCAGGAGCAGACTGGGGACCTCCCATAGGGCTTCAGACATGTGGGCTCGTGGCAGCCCTGCAGGGCTGTGGGTCCTCCTTGGCTCTGGCCCAGGAGAAGGCAGGGATGCAAGGCTTCTGGGTATGTGGACACTAGGCCCTATCATGGAGCCTTGATAAGCCTCTTTACCCCCTTTATCAGTGGGCTAAGGACAGAGAAGGGTATGTCTGAGAATCAAGGGCAAGTTCAACAGAAATAGGGAAGAGGCAGAAAGGGAAGTGACTGGGTGCAGCTCATCTGAAGCCTTGAGTCTGGCAGAAAGAATCTCTGAGGAGGGTCTAATGCTTAGGGTGGGCAGGGGTCCAGGGAAGGGGTAGGCCAGGTCCCACAATCTCCATAACAGAGGAGCCCGATCCAAGGGTGTCTTTTGGGAACTCTTAGAAATCTCAGTCTGGGAGGGAACAGAGAAATCCAGAATGTACAATACATAGCAGAAGGGGTCATGGTCTCCTTTGAGAAACTAAGGAAAGTTATATCTTTACCCAGTGGGAAAACTGCGTCCAGATTGTCAGAGAGACGTCTCACCCCTGCCTTAGCACTTGAAAAGCCCAGCCTGAGACTGGTGAGTCCCCTGGATAGCTGGAGGCAGGCACCTGGTGAGTGCAGTCCCACCCATCAGCCCCGGGGCTCTGAAGCAGGCAGGCCAGTTATGCCCCCCCAGACAGAGACTGACCTTCTCAGCCACTGTGGAGTTCATGCTCCAAGCTGGCACCACTCCTGTACCCAGCCGGTTCCATGAATATTTCCCCAGGCCGGCCTTGGCCCTAGTTCCTGGATCCTCTTCCTCTCTGGCCCAGGCCCAGGCCACCCCGAGAGCCTCTCCTCAGTGCTGCAGAGGCAGGCTGGGCCATGGCTGCCGCACACAGACAGGAGCCTCATACAGATTCATGCACCACACACACACGCCTGGGCTCAGGGAGTCAAGAGGCCTCGTGCCTTCCCCCCTCACCACACAACCACAGGCTGCAGGTTTCCAGGGCAGACAAGGCTGCTCCAGCTTTACTTGTAAATACGGGCCCCCAGGATTTTAAATGCGGCCTTTGAAGCCATTTATAGCAAAGCCAAAACTGGGTTGCTTTTTAATATGCAGTGAGTACCCTGCACCCCTTCCCAGAACACAAGGTTAACTTTGAGTTAAGCAGAGATATAAAGGTTGAGAAAAGTTGAACCCCAAAGGAGCTTGAGGACTAGGAAGAGACTGGGGCCAGGGCAAAGGGTATTGAGAAAGAGCTGGATCTCTGGGGTTGAGCAAACTGGCCAGGAGCCCAGAGACCCGGAGCCAGAATAGGGGGTAAGGCTGGGTCCAGACATGGAAGAGCCCCACAGGTGGTCGGGGAGGTGGGAAGAGGGAGACTGGCCTCTCAGGGACCAGCATATAGAGAGCCAGCGCCGTTTCCTGCTCGTCTATCCTAGGCGGGACCAGCACTTCCAGAGGATGAGCCCCTGTCGCCAGCACACATGCACGGTGCACACATGGGCACACACAACCTCCACAGATCCCTGGGGTGCTCATCTGATCCCTCTCACCCCAATTTCACCTTTAAGGGTGCCAGGAGGATGACTGGTGCCCATTCTCACCTCCTGACAGCAGGCTGGCAGGATAACACAGGCACTTGATAAAAATTCAGACTCAGATTCCATCCTACCTCCACCCAAAGATTCTGAGTTGGTCTGGGGGCCCAGGAAAGTCTTGGAAGCTGGTCCTTGGGGAAATTGCTGGTTGGTTTGTCAGCTATGTGGTGGAGAAAATAATCCTAATCATACCGGCCACATTCGTGGTGTGCCTAATGTACACCGGGGTGTTTTGCACGAACCACCTCACTTCATCCTCTGACAACCTTTCAAAAAGGTGTCATTATTTCTAATCGCAAGGTCACACACTGGCCCCTAGTGGAATCACAGTTTCAAGTCACCCTCCTCCCACCCCTCAATCTCCTGAAGACTCATAGGGCCTGGGAACCACCCAGAGACAGGATCAAAAGAAGCACCTGACTCTCCAACAGGAGGGATGGGTCGGGGTGAGACATGGATGCAGGAAAGATGCAGAACACTTGGAGGAGAACAAAGCTGTGAGGAGAACACTCCATTCCTCTACCAGCCCTGGGATGAGGCAGCAGGAGAAACCTCCTTCTCCCCTGAGAGCCAGTCCTAACCCACCCAGGAGGCTCTAGTGCAAGGCGGCTGGACTGCATCAGGCAGCGAATTCTCAGACAGCAGGCGCCCCCTGCTGCCAGCCACAGGTGCAGCAGGGAGGAGGCTAGGGTCTTTCTAGGGACTGACAAGCCAGAAACTAGTCTCTTCCATCCTCACCAGAGGTGGGCCATGAGGCCTCTGTGGTTCTTATGGTTGCCCCCATTTTAAGGATGAGAGAAAATTCAAGTGTCTTGCCCCAGATTACAGAGCCAGCCAGCACTGAACCTGGTTGCTCCCTCCTACGTCTGCCTCAGCCTCTCAGAGCCTGCTACCCTCAAACTCCTTCGAACCAGGGACAGACAGTGCACCAGAGCAGTTGTAGGAGGTAAGCAAGAAGTGTTTAATGGACTTGGGGGAGGGGGCAGTCTCAGCACTCCACCAGGGGAGCCTATGCCGGGCAGAACAGAGGCCTCCACACAGGGTTCAAGAGGTGAGGTGCAGGTGCAGAAGCTCCTGGCTTCTCCGGGATCGGTGGGGTGAGAAGTAGACTGAACCTTGTCTGGGGCAATCCCGCAGCAGCGGCAGCACTGGGTCAGTGTGGAGCTAAACAGTGTAGGGGGATAGGGGCTCTTCCCAAGCCCTTACCCAACAGCTCATGGCCCACACACTGGGGCTCCAGTCTTCTCAATGTGCTGCCTCCCAGTCCCACCAGACAGAGGAAAATGCCACTACAAGGACCCTGAGGCCAGTAGTTATGGGTCACCCACCCCCACCTTCTTTCCTAATGTTCCACTTCAACATGTTTCATATATTGGGCTTCAGAGTAAAAATTTCCTTTAAATTACAATCTAGCCCTTCAAATTATAAACCACTGGACTAGTCTCAGTCCTCATTAACAGCTGAGGAAACTGAGGCCATGACTGGCCCAAGGTTAACCAAGTGAGTGATGTGGTCTTTTCTGCTGTGTCTCCACAGACCCCCACTATATTCTGGAGGCCTGTGACTCTACTACCAACACTCCCCAGGCCTACAGCCCCCCTCCCCAGGGCTTTGAGTGTTCCACCTTTAGGGCCACCATCACATTAGGGTGCTTCCCCCAAGACCTGCACAATCTCCCAGCATATGCATGCACGCTAGCATGCACACACCCACACCTTCTCACCTTCTGGAGGGCTGCAGCCTCACCACTCCCTGGGGGGCCATTTCCTGGTTTGTAGAGACTCAGAGGTTGAGGCTGGGAGCCAGGCCCAGGCCCTGAGGGGGCTGAGGGATTGAGCACAGAGGGGCCCAGGCTCTGCATGGGCACCCTGTCGGCCTGGACCACTCTCTGCAGCCAGACAGCTTCAGACATGTACCTGGGGAGCAACAAGCCAGATGCAAGAGGTCATAGCCCTCTTGGCCTGGTACCCTGCCTGCTCAGCTCAGGGAGCACACAGCCCAGGGTGGCCCTACAGAGAACTGGGGTCAGGTTCATGCAGGCTGTAGTGCCCCTCTACCTCACATCTTGGGGCAAGAATCCACAGAGACAAGGAAAGGGAGAATCCAGAGACTAAAAATGCCCTGGAGAAAACCACAAAGGACAAAACCAGTAAGTGTAAGGGCCTGGCCATAAGCTAAGGACAAGAGGAGATGACCAAGTTCCCCCCACTGGCCCTGGGGCCATGTCTCAGGACTCAGGTTTGTCAACTCACTTGGGTCCCAGCGGTGCACAAATTGTTAAATACCAGTTGCTGGCACAGCCTTGGTCAAAGGGGTTGTATCTCTGCAGGTATCGGCACTGGAGGAGGTGAGGATGAGAACAATTCAGAGGCAGCAGGATTGGGCAAACCACCCCGCACTCATCCTCCCTGAACTGGGTCAGCCCAGCCCAGGGCTGCAGCAATGTCCAAGCTCAGAGAAGCCCGAAGACCACCCCAACCTATTTCTGAGTAGCTCCATCAGGGCAATCCCTGGCACTGCACCCCCACCTCTCCCACCTTCAAGGGGGTACAGACCCCTCATCTGTGCCCATTTTGCAGTGTAATCCCTTCTTTGTCTCCTCTGCCCAGATATACTTTGAGATCTTCCTGTGGCTGCTACACTCCTGCAGTTTCCCGGCCCCTCCCCGACTCCCCTGCTTGCCCTACTTTTTTTTCTAAACTTTTACCTTCACTGAATTTCACTCTCTGGACAGACAAATCCAATCATGTTTATCTAACCCAAATCACATGGCCTTGGAAAATGGGGGCCAAAGGTCCTGGGCACTCAACCAGGTTCTCCCCTCAACCCTCCCCACCTGAACCCCCTCCCCCTTCCCAGTGCAGGCCAGTCTCATCCAGACTCAAGAGCCTCAGCTACAAGATGTTTATCAGGTCTTCCCACCACGAGCTCCCTGCGCCCATGCCCCTGTCACGAGCTCTTTGATCTTCAACACCATCCTCCCCAAGCGGAACCAGGGACACCCATGGAGGGCAGCTAATGCCTGGGGGAGGAAATGTCCATAGTTCCAGAATGACCCATTGTTGTCCAAAAGCAATACTAACCACTGTGATATGCTGAGTTCTGCCTGCTTTAGAGTATTTAAGGGACTGATATTCTATTTGCAATTTTAATTAGATGTTTAGAAGAATGATGATGTTTAAGATAAGAATTTTAAATTTAAATAAGTACATTTTTATTTACTAGAGATATAGGAAGGATAGAAATAGTTGATTGTTCATTGATTAAAGAAATTTTCTTTGTTTAGTGGATTCATAAGAACTGACTCCCCACAGGCACCCTCAGACATGAATAGATCCCAACAGGAAATTCCCAGACTGTTCCCAGCTTTCAGACGTGTGGCTTCAGCTGCAGGTCTGTGTCTCAAATGCCCTCACACGCCACAGTAGTCAAACCAAAGTGGGCATCTTCTCACTCCATCTCCCAACCAACACCCTGCTGCCTTGGCCTCTCTCTCTCTCTCTCAGCACCACCTATTCCTTTTCCAGTAAGTTCACTCATTTACTCAAATATTTGGTGGCCTCAATTATATTCCAGTCACAGCACTTGGGATTGAGCACACACTGAAAACACAGAGCCAGCTGTAGCTGAGGGCAGCTGGGTAAGTAGTGAGGGTGGCATGGATTAGGGATCAGCAGTAAAAGAGGCAGCCCAGCCCGAGGTGCAGGCAGAGGAGTAGCAGCCTGGAAAAGCAGAGGCCCGGGAGAGTCTGGAAAGGGCACGGCAGGTACATTCAGTGTCAGGTGCTGCTGTGTGTGGTCTGGAACCACTAGTGTGAGGCCTGCAGCTGTGACCATGCGGAGAGCGCTGCAGCAGTGTGACGGTGAGGACAGAGGCTGGGCAGAAGTGGACTGATCAAGCTGAAGTGCAGAGCTAGTGAGAACAACCAATTCCTTCTGGAAGTACGGCTGTGCTGGGGGGGCAGGGATGGGAGGAGGGAGAGAGTATGGGTGGAGTGGAGGAGTGATGTTGAGGAATGTTTGCTTTGTTTTTAAGGTGACAGAAACATGAACATGTGTAAATAATAATAATAAGGACTGGTAGTAAAAACAATGTCTAGAGCATTTACTTTCGCTAGCGATTGTTTTATGTGTTTTATACACATTAACCCATGCGGTCCCCTTTCACAGATGGAAAGACTGAGATACCAGGTGGCTAAGTAACTTACCGAGACTCTCCTTGCTGGTATGTTGTGGAACTATGACCTGAACTTAGGTGGTCTGACTCTACAGCCCTTGCTATCAACCACTAAGCAGAAGGTCCTAACAGAAGTGGTGGTCACATGACGGAGGTTGGAAGAGATGAAATGGAGGTGTGCGAGGAATGTCTGGAATGGGTTCTGAAAGTCATGGGAGAGCGCTGCCCAGTGAATCAAAGAGTGCAGACAACCTTTAGGTTTCTTAAGGCTGGAGATCATGGGGTTGGGAGGGTCTCATTCTGAGCAGTGGAGGGAGAGCAGGATCTGGGAAGGGAGAATGTTGCCGCAGAAAGGCTGAAATGACATACTGAGGCTGGAAAGAGAAGACATGCAGACAGACCATGGCTGGAGTGGTGGGGAGGGCTCAGAAGTAAGGGCTGAGCAGAGGAGTCACAGGTGTGCTGGGAACCAAATATGGGTGAGGTAGAGACATGGCATGGTCACTGCAAGGGTGAGAGGAGGTAGGCAAAGATGGCTCTTCTGTACTTTCAGCTGTCTCAGTGTCTCCAGCGCCCCCCTCATCTATGTGGTCACCACAGGCTTTTTAAGCAGCATTCAGTCAAGCCATGATCCTGCTGAAAGAATCCCATTGCAAGAATATTCACTTTTACCACTCCCACTCAACATTGCACTGCCCAAGACAGCGCAGTAAGAAAAGAAAAAGAAATATACAAAAATACATTGTACATTCTATTATTTTATAATAACAAGTGGAAATGAAATTTTAAAAATGTAATAGCACCCCAAAACATGAAATACTTGGAAAAAAAATCTAACACAATGTATGCAAGATCTGTATGCTAAAAACTACAAAATACAAGTGAAAGAAATCAAAGACCTAAGTAAATGGAGAGGTATATATTCCATGTTCGTGGATTTAAAAAATGTAATTAAAATGTAAATTTTTCAATTTGATTTATAGGTTCAACACAATCCAGATAAAGATCTCAGAAAGTAAGATAGCTGAAAGTACATTGAAAAAGAAGAACAAAGTCAGAGAACTTGTGATTTCAAGAGCTGATAATAATGCTACTAATCAAGACAATGTTATAGGCAAAAGAACAGAGTTCAGAAATACACCACATCTAAATAGTTGATTGATTTTGGACAAATGTGCAAAGGCAACTCAATGGAAGGATAGTCTTTTCAATAAATGGTGATAGAACCACCCATATACAAAAAAAAAATCTTGACCCATGTCTTGCATCATATACAAAACTTAACCTCAGATAAGCCATCATTTCATATATAAAATATAAAACTTCTGGGAGAAAACATTTAAGAAAATATTCATCACCTAGACTAGACCAAGATTTCTTAATTACAACATCTGAAGTACTATCTATTCTTAAGAACTGAAAATTTCATTAAATTTAAAACCTCCTCAGAAGAGACTTTTTTACAAAAGGACATGACAAGTCACAGACTGGGAGAAAATATTTGTAAAATACATATCTCAATCCAGATGGCAAATAGGAACATGAAAAGATGCTCAATGTCATCACTACGAAACAAAAAGCCACTAGGAAAAGGCAAAGTGGAACCAACAGGAGGTAGCACTACACATTTATTAGATTGGCTAAGAAAACACAACTGACGATGCCAAAAGTTAATGAGCACGTGGAGCATTTTCATACATTGCCTTGTGAGAGCACAAAATGACAGTCATTTTGAAAGACAATTTGGCAGATTCTTATAAAGTTAAACACAGTAATCATATGACCCGGCAATGCCACTCTTAAGAAATAAGAAAAAGTTATGTTCACGTGTCTGTCCATCAATGTATACAATGGTTTTATTTATAGATACCAAAAATCTGGAAACAAACCAAGTATCTTTTATTTGGCAAATGGATAAAGAAGCTGTGGTACACCCATACAAAAGAATACCACACAGCAACAAAAAGGAAGAAACTACTGATAAGTGCAGCAACATGGATGAATTCAAGACACATCTGTTAAGTGAAAGAAGCCATATTCAAAGGCTATGCTTCCATTTATATGAAACTCTGGGAAAGGAAAAACTATAGGACTAAAAAAAAACAGATCAGAGGTTGCCAGGAGTTGCAAGGAGCGAAAGAGTTTAAGCACAAAATGCCATGAGGGAATTTTTTGGTTGATGGAATTGTTCTGAATCTTGATGATGGTGGCGGTCACAGGGCTGTATGGATTTACACACATGCAACTACGCTAAACTCTTGTAACTACGCTAAACTCATGTAACTACGCTATAACAACGTGGTTTCCCAAACCATCTTCTCCAATTAGAACTGGTCCCTGACTCTCCTATCAACATTCCTGACTCTCAGGCATCCCTGCCTTTCGCAGCAACAGCTTCTCCCTGCCTTCTGTCCTTCCACAACCAAGTGTCACACCTTACTCTGTGGTCTTCAACCAACAGTGAATTCCCTCTCTGGCTCTGCGCTACACAACGTTGAGCAGACCCCTCTCGTGTTCACGGGTGACTAGAGGGTGTTATCCTTATGTCAGATTCTTATCCACATAAGGGCAGGGTGTAGCCCCACCTCAGGACCATCGCTCACCACGCGCGCGCGGCCTGGCACACAGGCGGCACTAGGAGTGCGCCCAGGCGCGAGAGTGCCCATCGAGCTCCGAAAGTAGGTGAGATTTGAGCAAAATCAGGTCTGAAAGGGCTAACGAACCCCACCATATAGGGAAGCCAGGCTGCAGGAACCAGGGCGGTGCAGAAAGAGCGGCAAGTGCCGAGGAGCCGAAGCGCAAAGCGACCACCCCCTCCCCGCGTACCCGGCGGCGGGCGCGCGGGCCCCGCGTACCTTGCCCTCGTAGGAGCGCTCGCCTGCGCTCACCGACTTGGCCTGGACCAGCAACAGCAGGAGGAGTGGCACCAAGAAGCCGGCGGCAGGGACAGCCACCACGATGCTGCGCACGGGCTCAGGAGCGGCACGGCCGGGCAGTCTTCCTCGCCCCTCAACCCTCCCCAACAGCCCGCGTCCCCCAACCAGCCTGGGCCACCCACTCTCTGCGCTCCACTTATGCTTAAACCTCAGCCACCCAGCTGCCCAGGCCCGATGCCATCTTTAAAAACTCCCTCCCTCACCCGGCTGCCCACCTCTTGGCCTTTCAGACCCAGCCACATTCTCCACGCTTCGCTTTGCAGGTCCTCCTATCCCCTCCATTCCCCTCATGCACCCCCACCGGGTCAGGACTGGACCTCCCTAGACTTCTCGCCCTAATCCCGCCCCCACTAGCTCCTCCCCACGCTGTCCCGCCCCTCGTTATCCCCGCCCGGCTGCGGACGGGCCGTCAGGATACGCTATGGCCTTGTCTGTGGAGAAGGGCATGTGGGCCGTGCGCACCAGGAAGACCAAGCAAGTAGCCAACATGGTGCACGAGTAGAGGCACAGGGACAGGACGAGCAGCATGAAGAAGCGGAAATTGCGATGACCGATGCAGTTATTGACCCACTTGCAGTGGTGGTCAAAGTCCTGGTAGAGAAGGAGAGGGGACAGGCCTCCGGACCCAGCCTCCGGGCCAGCCGCCGTTCCGCCCAAATCTGAAGCCTTACACTGTGCCCCCCCACACCCCCTTCACAGTTCCCTGACCATGGCCTCATGCACTGGTGCTGACCCCAGGGCAAAATTGAGCCACAAAAAATCCCTAAAACGGGTATTTCTGTGTTAGAGCACTGTTGGGGTTCTGTGGCGCCACAAAGTTGCCTGTCAAGAGGTCTTCAGCGACAAGGCCTGCCTGGTTTTCCCTGGGACATATTCTGGGTGATTTGGGGAAGGATATGGACTATCACTGTGCCTCTGTGAGGAAAATAATACCTTGCCCAGTAAGCCTCCCAGGGTTGTAAGGACCAGAAAACATACCTAGAAGCCTTTGCAGACTATGCCCAAGAGTGAAAGCACTCAGAGCCCAGGACACCCTCTGGCCTGGAAAGGCAAGGCACTCCAACCCCAGGCCAAGCCTGCAGCCAGCCCGAGGACCTGAAGTTTCTCATGTCAGCCAGTCCCAGAACTAAGGGGCACATTTCCTCCGGCTCGCCTGACCAGGCCCAGTACAGACGTAGATGCCCCTGTGCATGTCAGCATCTGTGCAGGCCAGGGCCAGCCTGCCATGGCAGATGCCAGCCAGAGACATGCATGAGTGAGCAAGAGTGGGGCCTCCCCTGGTGGTGCAGGCAGTTGAGCGCAGTGCTGTGAAGCTGTCCGAAGCCTCTGCAGCGCTGGTTCAATCCCGGCTGGCCGGCCGGCAAGGGTCCCACATGGCAGAGCAGACCTCTCCTGTCGCGCCCACTGCTCCCCTCAGCAGTGTATTTCGTTAGTCTGCCTATTCTGTTCCCCGCTCTGTCTCTGGTGAATCCTCTCACCCTTCCGTGGATCTGGCCTGTACCCCGGTTCTTGTATAAATAAATAAATAAATAAATAAATAAATAAATAAATAAATAAATAAATCTTTTTTAAAAAAAAAGAGTGACTGGGAGTTGCTGCCATCCTTGGCCTTTAGCAGTCCAGGAAGGAGTTTCACAGCTGCCACTAGTCCCCATGTGAGAGGGATTCTGGTCCCAGCCAGTGCTGGCAGAGACAGGTAGGCAGGTGAGGGGAGTACTTACCTCCACACAGATGTTGCACCAGGGGCAGTGGTATGTCCGTGGTGGGCGATGGAAGCAGCACTTTTGACACCACTGCAGGCGGAAGGCCCTGTGGTTCACCCACACCACATGCACCATCATGGGGCTCTGTTCATTGGAGCCTGACATGGGAAGAGGATTGGCAGCTGCCTTCCACCACCCCGTTGCTCTGGGGGCAGCTCCACAGCTTCACTGAGCACCAGGAAGGGTGGGGAGCTGGTAGACAGGGCAATCCCTCGTCCCCACGGAGAAAGCTGACCCAGTTCAGAGATGGGCAAAGGGCAGGTGAATTTCCACCAGAGGAGAACTTGAGCCTTTGCAATCATGATTGATGCTTTAAGTAGTTGTGCAGTGGGAAGAAGGAACAGAGAACTGAGTGGTTTTGAAAGAGCTAGCTTGTTGTCCCAGTCTGCCCCAGCTCTCCCCTGCACGGCAAGTGGAAAACTTGTAGAATTCTGTTGTTCCACATCTCAGTGGCTTGGGAAATGATGTGTCAGAAGCACAGTTGGAGTAAATGATATAGGGTGAAGGGACCCTGAAGCCCGAGGAGGGGGGAAGGGGAGAGCACATTAGGAATCATCCCTGTGGGCAGGGCCCATTGGGTGCCACCTTCCTAGGGGGCCCAAACCTCACCTTGATGCAAGATGCCAGGGTCTGAGAAATTGAGCGAAACAAGACTGAAGAAAGCAAGGACAAAGAGCACACCGGTGAGGATGGGAAAGGTCCACTCCCCGTTCTGAGCCAACCACCTGCAACTGAGACCAGAGCAGGATTCAACCCCCATCTGGAGCGGCCCAAAGTCCCCAGGACACAGTCCACTTTGGATCAGGACCCACAGACCTTAAAACCTTCACTAACCATTCAGGCTATCAAGGATCCATAGAGGTTCCACCGCTTGTCACCCAGTATTTCCAGCCACCAGCAACTCCCAAATGTACAAGCACTCTATGCCTCTGTGCCTTTGCACATTCAGTTCCTCCAGCCTAGAATATCCCCCCTTCAGTGACCCCTCCTCTGTACGCCCCCGCCTCTGTACGACCATTATGCTTCCCTTTCTGTCTTTCTCTTTTTCTTTTTTTTTAAAGATTTATTTTTATACAAGAGCTGGGGTACAGGCCAGAGGCGCGGGAGGGTGAGAGGATTCACCAGAGACAGAGCAGGGAGCAGAACAGGCAGACTGACTGAAACACACTGCTGAGGGGAGAGCGGGCATGACAGGAGAGGTCTGCTGTGCCATGTGGGAATCTCCCTGGCCGGCCCGGGGAATCGAACCAGCTCTGCAACGGCTGTGGACATCTTCACAGTGCTGCGCTCAACCCGCTGCACCACCGGGGAGGCCCTCTCTCTTTTTCTAAGAAATCTGCCAGCTTGTGTGGGAGACTCACGGGAATGCGAAGAAAAGGCCACTGAAAACCACCAGCAGCACTACGTTAAAGGCAGCAAACAGGCTCGGGAGGATCCAGGAAAGCTGGACCTGAGGTGGGGGATGGGGCTCCTTCATGAAGGGCATGACATCCTTCCAGAGAGACATGGCTGGACCTCCTGTGACCCCAGGGGAGATCAGAGCCACGCAGCTCCCTCCTCCCTGCTGGCTCCAGGAGCCCCATGACCAAAGGGGCTACAGACCAGTGAAAGGAAAGAGGTTCCGGGGTGACATCACAGAGGCTGGGCTCTTCAGCAGAACTGCCTGAAGCCTTCTCTGGCTGCTGTGTATGACTGTCACTTCTAACAGCAAGTCCCCTGCCCCCCACTTGTGCTGGAGACTGCAGGGTTGGCTTTGAGACTACGAGATCACAGAAACCCAGGCAAGAAGGTGGGTGATTCTAATCACGCTTTCAGGTTCATTGCTTAATCGAAGCAGTGCTTAGCGCTCATTTTAGCTCCATGTTTTCCCTTTTTGTTATTGAAAAATTCCACTTTGGGTGGAGGGGAAGCTAAATAATTTCCTGGCTTCGTTTCTAGGGTTGACTTCATGACACAGTTTGGTCAAGGAGACATAAGAAGAGGCTGTCCACTGAAGATTTCTAGAGAAGTTCTTGCCTTCCCGATAAAAGGGGGAAAAGACACAGTTGGCTCAGCTCTGACCCTGTTTTCCTGCCTTGAATCTCCACATGCTGGCTAGGGTGGCACCTTGGACCCATTAGGCAACACGCTACACAGAGAGAACCCGATGAAGTTGTTGAGTCACTGCCCCAGCCTTGAACTTCTTCCCTGTGAATTGCTCATTATGTGAGGAAATACCTAGGTTTTCTGTTACATACAGCTGACACATCACTGATTTAGCCACGGAGTATCTGAACCCCTCTGTGTTGGGGTTCATGTAGCCATATTCCTCCCCATCAGTAGCTTCAGCTTTTTGTTAGAAGAGTAGAATCAAGCAAAATTAAATATTAAGAACTTTTGTTCTTCCTTTCCCCCCACTTTGCGATTTATCCTCCAACTGCATTTCTGGGGACCTTGAGAACTAACTGTTACATCTCTAACAAAATTCTCTGTGCCCCTCCAAGGTTGATAACCTTTTGCTCAGATGAGAACCTTGGAGTTACCTCGAAACGGTGGCAGTCAGAATTTGCTGTTTCTGCTTATCTGGCACGAACAACAGGGCTTATGAGAATGAAACAATTGACAAAAATGCCTGGACCCAACTTATATGAGAAAAAGCCAAAATTTTCATGTTAGTAAGTCGTGTATCAGAGCATAGACCCAGAAGAATGTTCACGTTCCTCAAGGTGACTTCTTAAAGACCCAGACTGAAAACTACCATGTGAAATGAAACCAAGGTGCCCAGCTCACGGTTAAACAGACAATGTTTAGCAGGGAGGCGTGCTCAGTTTTGTTACATTTCTGGATCCAGTTTGAGGTACACCATGATTTAGCAGAGAGCAATCAACAAGACCATACCCTTATATTTTTATACTTTGTTTCCCAGACCCTTAAAAACTGCCCAAAGTGGGCCTCCCTGGTGGCACAAGGGGTTAAGGCGCAACCTATGGGGCTGGCCGCGGCCACTGCAGTATGAGTTCAATCACCGACCAGGGAGCAACCCACATGGCACAGCAGACCTCTCCTGTCTCGCCCGCCGCTCCCCTCAGCAGTGTATTTCAGTCAGTCTGCCTGTTCTGTTCCCCACTCTGTCTCTGGTGAATCCTCTCACCCCCTGCGACTCTGGCCTATGCCCTATTTCTTGTATGGATGAATAGATAGATCTTTAAAAAGAGAGAGAGAGAGAGAGAGACATGGGGAGAAGATTACTTGATTTCAGACCTCTAGCCTCCCCAACACTAAGACAAAAAAAAAAAAAAAAAAAAAAACCCTGCCCAAAGCGCCATTCTCAGGAAAACCTCATGTCTTCCTGAAACGTGAAAACACGAAGTTTTCCTTTCACCTCCTGGCCAGTCAACTTGCTATAAAGGTTTTTCTCAAAACCTGTTATCACAATAATCATTTTTATGCAGCAAGCCCATGGCTTGATAACAACCTAACTCCTGTCTTTATCTCATATCCCACATCCAGTTCATCAGCTCTACCTTCAAAAACAGAATCTTATGAGTCCAAGCCATCACCTTCTCTTGCCTGGACATTGCAACAACTACTTAGGAGTCAGGGCTCCTTTTACAACATTTTTTAAACATCCTTATTTACGCTTTTCACAATATAGGCTTTCTCCTCTCCAGCTTCTTTTATTTATTTATTTTTAAAGATTTATTTATTTATGCATACAAGAACCAGGGTACAGGCCAGAGGCGCAGGAGGGTGAGAGGATTCACCAGAGACAGAGAGGGGTACAGAATAGGCAGACTGAAATACACTGCTGAGGGGAGCAGTGGGAGAGACAGGAGAGGTCTGCTGCACCATGTGGGTATCTCCACGGCCGGCCGGGGTCAAACCCACACTGCAGAGGCTGCAGACAGCTTCACAGTGCTGCACTCAACTGCCTGTGCCACCAGGGAGGCCCCAGCTCCTTTTAAAACTGAGATTATCAGTGGGACTCCAGGACTTCTGGAGAGAATGCCTGAGCTCTAAAGGAGCAGCCCACTTGAAATCCCAGATGGCTATTGCACTGAAGCCAGATGTCATGAGCACTCCTCAGATCTGCCATCTTGGGTAATACAGAGGAGTGCAGTGATGAGAGACACCTGAGAGAACTGACTCCCACAGAGACCCAAACCATGGCACTTCTTTCATCTCTTACACTGGTGATATCCCCCAAGCCTGAGTCATACTGAGTCAATCAATAACCAAGGAGCTCTGTGACACAGGGCGATGGGTGGAGCCTAGACTGTCTTCTTGGTTGTATAACCCTTTCTGTCCCAGTGTTCTGAAAAGAAGTGATAAGGCTAGAGCTGATGCCTTGGGAAGAGAGACTAAATGTAACAATGAAGTTAATGGATGTGCCAAAACTTAGCACCCTGTATGTGGGACTGATGAAAATATTTATCCCAAGGAAGGCATGCTATGCCATTAAAATATAAAGTACCAGATTCTGTCCTCGTTCAAAAACTGGGCCTTCTTGAGAACCAAAGTCTGGAATCCCATAAAGTCACCACAATACCTGACTGACCTGAATGGGGAATAAAATGCATCTAAACAATTTTTTTTTTTTTAAGACTTGGATTATAGCCTAAGTACATAAATTTTCTCAGGACTCTCCAGTTAGGGCAAAAATTCAAATTCCTCATGATGATCTTAAAGGGCCTCTCTGAACTATCCCCCCTAATGTTTTGATCTCATTTCCTAACATTCAACCCTTTGCTCACTCCACACCAGCCAGGCATGTTAGCTTCTTTGTTGTTCCTCAGACACACCTGGTATAGTCCAGACTTGGATTCTTATCACTTGCTGCACTCTCCCGGGAATCCACTCCAAAAATATTTGCAGAGTTTGCTCCCGCATGTCATGAGTTCCTTGTTTAAATGGTTTGTTCTACCAATATCTATATACATCTCCAATTATTTCCTTAGAATAGATGGTTGGATTTGGGGTTAATGAATGTGAATTTTTGAAATATCTTTTCTCATAATCTCACATTTATATTTCTATTATGAGCATACTCATCATACTAACACCATAACTGGATATTAAAATAATTTCTCCAATTTTATATATTAAAAATAACTCCTTGATCTTTTTATTTGTAGCTCCTTAAATTACTACAGTCATCTCATTGTAGTTTGGTGAAGTGGCTCTACATCTTTTGCTTATTCACATTGTAGTGTGGAATTATTGGTGTATTTTTTCCTTTTTTGTCATTGTAGTAAACATACATAATATAAAATTGACCATTTTAACCAGTTTTTGAGTGTACAGTTGTGTGGCATTAAGGGCACTCACACTGTTGTGCAACCATCACTACTATTCGTTACAGAACTTTTTATCATCCCAAGTGGAAACTCTGTATCCATTAAATAATAACTCCTCATTTCCCACATTCCCATTCCCTGGCATCCATCCATCCATTCTACCTTCTGTCATAATGATTTCTAAGGTTGAATAACATTTCACTAGATGTATATGTCATATATTATTTATCTGTTGATGGACATTTAGATTGATTCTACCTTTTGGTTATTGTGAATAATGCTATTATTAACTTAGTGTATAAATATATATATTCAAGTCTTTATTTTTAATTCTTTGGGACATGTATTAAAAAATGGAATTTCCAGATCACATGGCAATCTTACGTTTAATTTTTTGAGGAACACACATATTGTTTTCAATGACACCTGTTCCATTTTACATTTCCGCCAACAAGGCACAAAGGTTCTAGTTTCTCCTCATTCTCACTAACAGTTTTTTGTTTTCTTCTATTTTTTTTTTAAAGAACAGCCATCCTAATGGATGTGAAGTGATATCTCACTGTGCTTTTGATGGAAATGTTGGACTTTTCTTGCTTATTTATAGGACCCCTTTTCTATTAAAATTTGTCTGTATTTATTGTAAATATGTTCCAAGTTTGTTGCTTGGCCTTTACTACTTGTGTGCAATTTTTAATGTCAAGCTTTTGTTTTTATCTAATCAAATCTTTTGATCATTTTCCTCATATCAGTTTGTCTTACTTCTAAATCTTTTCCTTTCCTCTAGCTGGTATTTAACTCTACTTCTTGTTTTCTTTTCATTCAGTTCTGGTTTTGAGTCGTGCCCTACATTCGTAAGAGTGTGGACGAGAATCCACCAACTGGGTCATCTCCTTTCCCCAGGTTTGCTTGTGACCTTCGGTTGGCTGAGGCTTTGTTGGGCTCCTGCCACAGATTGACCTTTCTGCCCAGTCCTGCTTCTGGCCCTTCCCCTCCACAGGTGTTTATCCCAAAATAATTCCCAAATAAACATCCTGCATGCATGTCTCTAGAGTCTATTTGTGGACTTTTTGTTTCACTAATTCATTGAATTGGACACTGTATATTCTGATCTCTGTAGTTTTACAAGCTAGGAGGCTTTCTGTATTCCTAGTTGTCAACATTTCAATCTCTAAAGTCATAACACTATGTCATAAACAAAGACATAACACAGAAATATTCACTAATGAATAGGAAATGAGATCCCACTCAAACATTGTCTTTCACTTAAAACTCACATCTTCCTTTCCCACTTCAACTGCAATGTGAAACAATGCCAAATGCAAATACAGTGACAATTTATTGCAAAATGAAATTTGAAAGAAACAGAATTTTATGGTGTTGATAGAAGTGATATTAGAATACCTTTTAAAGTGGCCAAAAGTCATAAATCAATGAGAAGCAATGTTAAAATAGCAAAAAATAGAAAAAAGAAAAATCAACAAAGTTGACAATGTGCTAGGCTCTGCAGTAAAGAATGGCCCATGGCCTCCTTGGTCAAGTCTACCAAATTTTATTTATTTGTTTATTTATTTTTAAAGATTTATTTATTTATTTATTTATACAAGCACTGGGTTCAGTCAGAAGTGTGGGAGGGTGAGAGAATTCACCAGAGCCAGAGCAGGGAGCAGAGCAGGCAGAAGGACCGAAGTACACTGCTGAGGGGAGCAGCGGGCAGCAGGAGTGGTCTGCGCGCCATGTGGGACCCTCCTCTGGTGGCCGGGGAGCAGTCGGGGATCGAACAGGCGCTGCAGAGGCTGCGGGCAGCTTCGCAACCCAGTGCTCAACCGCTGCGCTACCGGGGAGGCCCAAGTCTACCAAATTTTAAAGAACAAAATAGAAGAGGAAAGAAATAGAAGGAACAGTAGAGGAAAGAACACTTCCTAATTTATTCTATGGAGTCAAAGATGTCAAAGACAAAGACAACACTACAAAGAAAAAACGGCATACCGATATCCTTTATGAATATATGTGCAAAAACCCTCAACAAAACGGCAAACTGAATACAGCGGCATGCTAAAATGACCATGACAAAGTGAGATTTATTCCAGGAATACAAGAGTGATTCAACATACAAAAATCAATGCACTACGTCACAGTAATGAGGGTGAGTGGGGGTGGGAGAGAAAGAAACATGATCACCTCAATGCAGAAAAAGCATTTGGCAAAATTTACCACACTTGAGTAAATGATTTAGAACTCTCCACAGACTAAAAACAGAAGGGTGTTTCCTCTACCTGATGAAAGGCATTTATGAAAAAAACCCACAGTTAATACAGCAAGAGACTGAAAACTTTCCCTGTAAGACATAAGACAACTGTACTGCTTTTGCCACTTCCATTTAACATATACTGGGAGCCCTGGCCAGAGCAAGAGGTCAAGGAAAAGAAGGACAAAGAGAGAGAGAGAGAGAGAGAGAGAGAGAGAGAGAGAGAGAGAGAGAGAGAGAGAGAGATTTGGAGCTAATGAATGAGTTCAGCAAACTAGCAGCATTTTTCAGAACAGCCAAAAATAGAAACAATCATTAATTGATGAATGGATAAAACAAAAGATGGTATATCCATATGTGGAAATACCCTTAAGTCATGGGAAGCAATGGAGTACTGATGCATGCTATGACATGAATAAACCTTGAAAATGTGATGCTAAATGAAAGAGACAAAATGTCCACACTAGGTCAATTCATAGAAAGAGAAAGTTGATTAATGACTACCAGGGCATGAGAGGAAGAGGAAGCATGGGAGTACAGGAAATATAGGGTTTATTTTGGGGATGATGGAAGTATTCTGCAATTAGATTGATGGTGATAGCTGTATAACAGGAATATACAAAAAAACCACGAATTATACACTTCAAAATGTGACATTTTATGTGAATTTTATCTCAATATGAATTTTTAGAAAAAGTGTTTAAATGTCAAACAATTGAGGGGCCCTGGGCAAAATTGATGAAACTCATGCTTTTTTTATAATTTAGTTTTTCAAGAAATGACTCACATACCAAGAAAACCAAAACTTCAGAGGTAGGTGTGCTAGCAAGTTATTGTACAATTTTGTGAGGAAAATTACCCTCCCAAAGGAAATAAACAGCAATTTATTCTTCTTGGTTCAAAAATCAGTGTAGAAAGTGAACAGTCCAAAATTAGCAAAAGAAGAATCCCACTGGCTGGTCCAACTCATCTTCTCTTGCCAGACCTTAGCTGTGGATAGACTGGATTCAAGGCTGGACACAGCACTGAACTAATCCGTGGGTCATACTCCATAGAAGAGAGCCACGTCGGGACTTTCTGAGGAGCAGAAGTGCCCCAGCAGAGCTAAAGCCCTCTGTCTCACCCTACCCTGCCATTCCTCCCACCACTGTCTTCTACCCCGAAACCTGTCTGGTCTCCCCTGGTCTCCCTGCTGCCCACCTGCAGAAGCCCTGCGAGTCTTCCTCCTAGTGCTCAGTCCTCTGTTCATTCCTCTGTTGGGGAAAAGTTTTGGAAAAGAGCCAGAGCATCCTGTAATCTGCCCTAGGGAAGTCTAAAGTTCAGGGCTTGGGCAATTAAACTCAAGACCTCTTCTTGGTGTAGAGGTGAATGGCCCGGGGAACATTCCTTTGACTTGAGGAAGCTGAGTCAGTCTGTGTCTGTCAGGGTTGGGCCGAGGCCATTGACCCTGTGAGGGTCAGTGTCCTCGTCTTCCCTTGTGCTTTTGGAGGGAACGGGGTCTCTGAGACTCCGGAGCAAACATTACCCTGTTCCAAGAACCATGCCGTAGGAGGAGGCTAAAAGAGGAAGCAGACTCAGCTTGATCCTTGGGAGATATTCTGAGGTGTTTGGGAACAGGTGCAAGGAGTTCTCTTGGTACTGCCTCTGTAACTGCTTCCTACAGTTGTATCTAGTCAGCAGGGCGAGGCAGAGCCTCCTCTGGCCTCCTCACAATTGACTCTTTTGATCAGCTCAAGGGCCTTTAATATCAACGATCTTCATCCAAACCTCAACAAAGTCCCTAGCCCAGATCCCTGCTGCTTCTTTCCATACTTCCACGACTTTCTGTTCAACCTGGTGATGTCATCTCTGAGTCTCAGTTTCTTTATCTGTAAAATGGGAATAAAGATAGCTATCTTATAACAGAGGTTGTAGAGTTTAAATGAGATAAAGAATATACTTCATTTCCTATAGCACCTGGTACACTGTAAATCCTCAATAGACGTTAGCTACTGCTGTTGCTGTGATTTTTATTAATCATGCCACTAATTCTAAAGAGTACTTAGTAAGGCCTCTCTAGTGGTGCAAGTGGTTAAGGCGCAACCTATAAAGAGTACTTAGTGTATCCCAGGCCCTCTGCCGCGAATCCAGGAGTACTGTGCTTGATCGAAAGGAGGTAAAAATCTATTTGGAGAGAGAAGTCACGAGTCAATAAAATAGTTTATAAGCATATCATTTGGAATAATTTTTCAAATTCAAAAGGCTCAGAAATCTCACTCACAATTCTGCTCTCCATTTGTTATAACTTAAGCTGTTCTTTATTTTTTTAAAAGATTTATTTTATTTATGCATACAAGAACTGGGGTACAGGCCAGAGGTGTTGGGGATGAGAGGATTCACCAGAGACAGAGCAGGGAACAGAACAGGCAGACTGACTGAAATACACTGCTGAGGGGAGCAGCGGGCGAGACAGGAGAAGTCTGCTGCGCCATGCGGGTTGCTCCCTGGCTGGGAATTGAACTCGTGCTGCGGTGGCCGCAGTGAGCTTCATAGGTTGCGTCTTAATCCCTTGCGCTACCAGGTTGGCCCCTTAAGCTGCTGTTTAGAGGAAAAGTCTGTTATCATCAGGATATGGTGGGCTGGGCTTTGGAAAACCCATTTGGTCCTCAGCCTTTCCAGATTCCTGCTTTCTTCATGCCCAGCCAACAGCACCAACACAACCAAGGCTTCAGCCCTGATTCTCCCATGCCCAGGGAACCAGAGCCTGAGTTCCAGGCAAGTTCTGGGGAAGAGAGGGTGCTGACCAGGGAATATTGTGGGAGGATCGAGAACTCTTCCTCTTCACAAGAAAAAAAAAAAAAAGAACTTTGTCTCCACCATCACCTAGAAAGTTCCTAGGGAGGTTTGGGGGATGTAGGCTGGGGGTGGCCTGGGGCAAGGGATGGCAAACACATTCGTGGGAAGGAAGTAGGAGGGGCAAAATCTAGAGATGGGAGGAGTCAGGAATCAGGGAAATCAGCCAGTTGACAAGATCAAATTCCTCTAGGGTGAACTCTGAGACAGGTTCTCTGAGGTCTGAGACACAGGAGGCCCGGCCCGCCTGAGGAAGAGACAGAGATCCAAGAAGACACAGCCTACCCCCAGCCGGGTCCTCTGGGAAAGACCAGCAAGCAGCAGCTCCCCAACCAAACTGCCTGCCCTTCCTTTGACCCTCAGTGCCTGCCCAGGAGTCTGAGAGGGAGAAGACAATGGAGCCAGACAGGATTCCGATAAAGCTTGACCCCAGGTGAGTGAGGGCAGCAAGCCCTGAGCCAAGAGCCAGTTACAAACAGCAGTGGCCTCTCTCTCTCTCTGGCCTGTCTCTCACCGACCCATGGCCCTTTGGCTCCCAGCACCCAGCATGAGACAAGACTGATAACAGTCTGGCTGTCCCCCAGGTTCTCTAGGACAGTGTGGGGCTGGGCAAGTACATAATCCCTCAGAGCTTTGGCTTTGCCCTCCCCAGCCCCTCCACCACCGACTTGGAGGGAGAAAGATCCCAGGTGGGGACCGTGGAGGCATTCACAGAACCTGGACCAGCCAGGGACCCATCCTTGATGCTAAGGGTCCTTTCTTTTTCTGAGACCCTACTCTTTCTCTTTAGCCAGTCCCCTAATGGGGATGGAGGGCACCACAGCCACACCCACCCCGGGCTAGGTGGTGGCCTGCCTTACACACAGACCTGAGTCAGTTTTCTAATCCCGCTAAGATTAACAAGGTATTGAAGGGAAATGGAGAAGCTCTCCAAATCCAGGAGTGATTGAGTAGCCTCCCCCACCTTCCCGATTTTTTTTTTTAAAGATTCATTTATTTATTTATACAAGCACTGGGTACAGTCAGAAGCGCGGGAGGGTGAGAGAATTCACCAGAGCCAGAGCGGGGAGCAGAGCAGGCAGACTGACGAAGACACGGCAGAGGGGAGCAGCGGGCGGCAGGAGAGGTCTGTCGCGCCATGTGGGACCCTCACCCAGCGGCCGGGGATTGAACAGGCAATGCAGAGGCTGTGGGCAGCTTCTCAGCCCAGCGCTCAACCGCTGCGCCGCCAGGGGAGGCCCTGTCCATATTTTGAACAGAGTCTGGTGTCTCTCCAGGTACACAGCAGAGCTTCTGGAGGTACTGAAAACCAATTACGGCATCCCTGCTGACTGCTACTCTCACCCTCCCACTGCAGCCCAACTTCTGAGAGGTGAGTCAGGGACACTCCCCTAGAGGGAGCTGAAAGGTGGAAATGAGAACCCCAGTGGGAAGTCAGAGCCCTGGCAGGTGCTGAGGAGTGATCCTGGCTGCAGCTGGGGAGCCTGGAAGGAATGCTGGCCCAGGTCTCTTGAGGAAAAGGCCTGGAAAAAAGTAACTTCTCCAAGAGTCAATAGGGCAAAGGAGGGGCATGACAACCAATCCCAGGAGGCAAAATGGCAAACTGAGCCTCCCACATATCCTAACCTCAAAGTTCATTCAAACTGGGAACTCTGGCCTGGAGGGTTTTTTTTTCCCAGACCCAAGGATCTAAAAAATCTTGAATCCAGGGATTTAAGATGGTACCCAAATGATCCAAGTCCCACAGACTCCCCACAGCCAACTAGGGAAGGGCCTGGATCACTCCAGACAGGTGGTTATTATGAATAATGCTTTTAAAATTTAGGTGAATCTGTAAAAGCATTCAGACCGTGTTGGCTAACTGCATCCTATTGCTGAATGCTTTTGAAAGAGATGGGACCCTGTTTATTTCTGGACACCTAAAACACTGACAATCAAATGACCCTAACTAGCATCTTTATAGCAAATGTGGCTCACATCCACATTTCATTTTGTTTTCCTTTTGTGATTAATTCTCTTCTAGACTTTGATAACTAGGAGGCTAACTAGATGTCAGCCTCCTTCCTGACGTCTCCTCAGGGAGTAAGCTCTTTCCAATCAGCAGTATGCATTAGGAGGCAGATATGGGCATGTTCCTGAGCAAATGTTCAGCCTCCTTTCAGATAGTGAATCAGAGCTAATGCCAACTGCCCAAGAGTCTAGTGAGGGCTTGTTGTCACTTTGTGATTCATGCCAGTTGGTAGTTGCTACTTGCAGCTCCAAAAACTTCTTGTTCAGAGTGCAGCTGGTGGTGAGAGTCTTCTGTTGTACCCCTGGTGGTTACCCAGAGGCAATTTTTCCCTCGGGTGTCTCTAGCTAATATTTAGTGACAGCTCCAGTTGCCACAGCTAGAGAATGTTCCTAGTATCTAGTGGGTAGAGGCCAAGGATGTTGCCAAACATCCTATAGTGTACAGGAAAGCTCCCTACAACTGAAAATTATATGGGCCAAAGTATCAATAACGCTGAGATTGAGAACCTTGCCTTATACAGTAAAAATGGTTCTCATATGGTTTTGTTACAAAATGTGCAAGTAGAAGCACTAACATTCTGTGGCTGGTAGTTGGACCCACTACCAGCCAGGTGTTTCAGGAGGACTTGTCAGAATGGGTAGCAATTGGAGAGCAGAGAGCAGACAGTAGTCACTGCTGGGGTACACATGGAGATAGAATGAGCAGGCAGGTCCTCCTGACTCTGAGGGCCTCCATCTGGCAGGATCTAAGTTTCCTGGTGAGGGCTGGGCAGGTAAGGTGGGGCCTGATGAGTTCAGGCAGAGGAGTTACACTTTTTCCAGCAGACGGAAGGAGCAGCAAGAGCTGTGAGATGGAAGGGGCTGGATAGTGCTTCAGGATCATTAATCAGTAATCAAAATAGGTTTCCAGGAAGAAAAGCCTTAAGAAACAGAAATACAAATTGAAGGTTACTGCTGCAAACCCAGCATGAGGGACAAGCATCTGAGCTAGGACAGTCAGGGAGCGTAAGGGAAGAGTTGGAGAACACAGTTCCATGCAAAGAAAGAGCAGATGGTCTGGTAAATACCAGACATTGTAGGTGAATGGAAACACAGACACTGATGATGTTCTGGGGGTGTGGGCAATAGTGAGAACACAGACACAAAGAGGATAGTCAGGAGGAGGGACCCATTAGATGCTGCAGAGAACCCCTTTCCTCCTTCATCTGTAAACTTGGTTGTTCTCTAAAGGCCATTTAAGAAAGAATTACTGCAAAAGAACTATTAAATTTTTTAATAATCTGCTTTTGAAATGCTTTTCCTATTATTGCAATTATGCTCCCTATCAGATTTTTTTTAATGGACTGACCCAAGCATTTATACAGAAGAATGATTGGCCAAGAGAAGCCAAGACTATTTTGAAAGAACATAGGAGGGCAGCAGCTCTAAGAGAAATTTAAGCTTATAATAAGACTAAGTAAAAAGGGGGGTAATAACTGCAAGGGGCAGTAGAAAGTAGACAAATGGGACAGACAAGTAGAAAAACAGAGCAAAATGGAGAATCAGAAACAGCTCTTTGCCCACACGGGGGACTTGTTCTCTGAAAGGATGCTGTCCATAAACGTGGGGCAGGATGGACCCTTCAGGAAGTAATGCCAGGCAATTGCTTGCCCCTATGGCACATAAATAAGCATGAAAATAATTCCAAAGCAGCTTTAATACAGATAGTTTAAAAACCTACCTGTAAATACAAACATTTTCTACAGAAGAAAATAAAGATCCTTTTTTGATTGAGTAGAAAATCATTTTTAAAATAAAACACAAGAAAGCACAAAATGTTCATACAGAAGACTAACTACATAAAGCAAGCTAATCTGTGCAATTAAAAACGCTATAAACAATACTAGGGGAAGAGAAATTTAAGCCTCTAATGAACAAAGCATGAGTAGTTGATAAAAGAAAAAATTACCTGACAAAAATTGGATAGAATAAATGAACTGGCAGCTCATTAAAGAGAAAATCTACCTGGACAACATACAGAAAGGTTATTTTGTTAGGAATTAGGAAACTTCAAATGAAACAATGACATAGTGTTTCACTACTATCTGATAGGCAAAAATAAAAAGGCTGCTAATCCCAAGTAATGGATAATTTGAGGGGAACTGTGACACTCTCATAGACTGCTGATGGGAGGGGAAAATGGTACATTCACTTTGGAGAGTCATCACATATCCATCAGTCAGAAGATTTCCATCTGCTATTACACAACCTAGCAATGCTAATTCTAGGCATATGTCCTAAAGGAACTCTCTGATGGGTGCCAGGGAGACTTGTTCAGTAATACCTGTTGCAGCTTTCATTTGTCATGTGAAAATAATAAAAATCATGAAAAGCATATTGGGCTGAAAGGATTTTGAATGCCATTTATATGGATTTTTTAAATGTAAAGCAATGAAATATGTTGAACATGTACATAATTTACAAAAAATTAAAACATAAATGGGAAAGAGATTCACCATCTTCAGAACAGCAGTTGTTTCTGGAGGTAGGAGTAGAGAAGGGACAAGGATTGGAAGGTAATGTTTTATTTCTCTAAAAACAATTTTTGAAGCAAAATTGGCAATGTTGTATTTAATACTTTAAAATGGGTCTATTTATATTTGCTCTATTATTCTCTTTACTTTTGACATATTTTATATTTACAATATAATTATTTAAAAAGGTTTTAAAGGGCAGTGATGAAATCTTAGATAAAAAGGCAGAATACAACATTTTACAGTATGATTGCCATAATATAAAGTGTATGCACTTTAACCAGGATATTTTTTCAAAGCTCCTTTTTATTGAGCAAATACTAAATGCCAGGTAATGTGTAAAGAGATTTAATCAGAGGATAAATAACATTTCCAAGGTCAAAGAACAAGCCAAATATAATTTTCTGTTGAACCCAAGTGTCTCTTACTACAGAGCCTATGTTCTTAACTTCCACAGAAACAGAAATATAAGAACGGAGGATACCAGGAGGCGTGTAATAATTGTTTGGGAACTAGCTAGATTTATAGATGATATCACTTTTTCCAAAATTTTAATGTTCTAATATTTGCATTACTTTAAAAATTAATCATTATTTCAGAGAAATTAAAACACAAATGGGAATGAGATTCACCAGCTTCAGAATAGCAGTTGTCCCTGGAGGTGGAGGTAGAGAAGGGACAAAAGAATTGGTAAGGGCCTCCCCAGTGGCGTAGCGCTTGAGCGCTGGGTTGCGAAGCTGCCCGCAGCCTCTGCAGCGCCGGTTCGTTCCCCGGCTGCTCCCCGGCCACCAGAGGAGGGTTCCACATGGTGCGCAGACCTCTCCTGCCGCCCGCTGCTCCCCTCAGCAGTGTACTTCGGTCCTTCTGCCTGCTCTGCTCCCTGCTCTGGCTCTGGTGAATTCTCTCACCCTCCCGCGCTTCTGACTGTACCCAGTGCTTGTATAAATAAATAAAAATAAATCTTAAAAAAAAAAAAATTGGTAAGACGTCATTTCAGAGAATGGGAAATTTGCTAGTTGTTTTAGGTATAAGTGTATTAAAAATGGTCAGACAAGCTTATCCCAAAGTGTGTTCCTTTGAATACTAATTCCAAGCAGTGCTTCCTGAAACAGTCTGTAAAAAATAACTGTATTCCAGAACTTCCTTTTGGAAATTAACAATGTAAATTAGATTTAAAGCTTCAATATGCTCTGTAGGAAAGAAGGCTGTTTACAGGTGATACGGTGGTGGGAAAACTACAGGGACTATACCTGAAGGGAGAAATCAAATACTCTCCAAAAATTAACAACAATGTAAGAAGATAAATACAAAAAAATTTTTAAAAGAGAAGGCATTTCCAAAAATCCTTGGCCACAGAACACTTTGTCCCATTGTATCTTTTTATTTTATAATTTTCTTTTATTGTCTTGACCATTTTTAAGAGAGCTGCAAGTTATTTTTTTTTCAAGATTAATTTTATTTATTTATACAAGCACTGGGTACAGTCAGAAGCATGGGAGGGTGAGAGAATTCACCAGAGCCAGAGTGGGGAGCAGAGCAGGCAGAAGGACCGAAGTACACTGCTGAGGGGAGCAGCGGGCGGCAGTCTGCGCGCCATGTGGGACCCTCCTCCGGGGGCCGGGGAACAGCCAGGGATCGAACCAGCGCTGCAGAGGCTGTGGGCGAGCTTCACAACCCAGCGCTCTACCGCTGCGCCACCGGAGAGGCCCCCATTGTATCTTTTAAGATGCAGAAAAATAAGAGAGAGACAGTCTTCTAAGTAGATAAATGAGTTTGTTGGCGAGCAGTCAATGGTTGGATAGATGCCATAGATGCTGACAAACCTCTCAACCTTTGCACTGTGCAAGTA